AATAACTACTCAAATAATTCTACCACACTTTAATAAGCCAAATAGGTTGGAGCTGGCTATGGTGCTTTTTATCATTTCCAAGATGAAGTTATCTGAGACACAGGAGTACCAGCTTCTCTTTTAGGAGTCTCTGAAATTAGCAAATGATTCTCAAGTAGTGCAGGTAAGAAGCTGAGTAGTAATGACTTCATTACATCCCAGTGCCCGCATATCTACAGCCAAGCTGTGAGATGTGATAGCTCTGTCTCCCCCATTCTCTTTAAGATAAGCAATAGGCAATATCCATTGTGTGAGCACCTGCATTGTTCACGCACGCCTTTGTCCTGGATAACAGCTCCTGTTCATCAGTGTGATACACTGCACTCTGATTTTCTACTTCTGTCTTTCTTTGTGGATATTCCTTTCTCCTCTCTGATTGCTTTTTCTTCTTAGACCATTACTCTAGTTGATAGTGCCAGGTTATCACTGGACCCCATCTCCCTCTCCAATAAGCCTGTGATTGATACTAATCTTCCTCGTGGGACACATTTTACAGGGTGCACAGCGGGAACCCCTCTCTAAATCTTAGCTTTCTATGTGCTGACAGTTTATAAGGTTGCACCGCACACACATCTCAGGAGGCTTACGGGGAAATTTGAGAACCATGTAATCAGACCTCCTAATAAGAATACAAATGCCTTCCATCCAGAGACGCTATCATGCCATTCAACAGTCTGCGCTACGCCCCGTCTGTATTTTTTTTTCCCCAGCCAACAAATGCACATATAGGTAAGTGCTATTTGGGACGTGGCCAGTTCCTAGAAGGCCAGCATGCATCATTTCTCTCTTCTGAGGAGAGTGGTGTTTTAATTACTCTAATGAAAGCTTTCGCTTGCCATCAAGTCCACAAAAACAGAAAATTACAAGTGGTTGCAAACACTCAATGAAACAGAAGCTTTGCTGTATGATATACCTGCACCTTTCCTAGGAAAACTGAGCTCCTGGGAAATTTATAAATACAAATGTTACCCTCTCACACTAACAGGTGATTCTGGATTGAATTTTTTTTTTCCAGACCAAAGAGTATTTTGTGAAAAGTTTTGGTTTTCATGTGAAGTCTGCACCCTAAAATGTGCTGGCCAAGCAAACCGAGTAATACAGTGTTTGTTTACAGTAGCAGTATTGGATTGGTATGCTCTCTAAAGGAAGGCTTCCATCCAGAAAAGAGTAGCTTACTCTTTTCAAAACTTGCAAGCAACCCAGGATACATTCATGATTTGCTGGCTCCATAAAAGTCAAAAGCAGAAGTTTCTGTATCTCATATGGTCACACTGCAGACTAGTAACACTTGGAGTTATCTGATTCTGGTGTATATTTTAATGTACAGTTTCAGATGCAGTTGTATCTACTGGGAAAAATAAATACACTGAAACTATTTCTAACAGTTAGGTCTCACTCTCCTCCATCTGCATCTGAAAGTGAGGTTCTCCTTTGGATTGGCCCTTTTGTGAGAGGTCATACCTCAGAATTTGTCTATTTTTCCTTCTGGAATATCTATGGGGCTTTATTTCTGGGTAAACAGTATTATGAGTGGATTTGTGTACCCCCAAGTTTGTATATTAAGGTTGCAGTCACGATGTCTTCAGATGGTGACTGTATTTGATAATAAGGCCTTTAAGGAGGTAATTAAGTTAAAATAGACTTTTTAAGGGGGGCTAATCCAACATGACCGCTGTCCACAGAAAAAGAGATTAGGACCCAGACAACACAGGAGTGAGCACAGGAAGACACAGCGAGACAGTTTGCCATCTACAGAAAGGTTGAAACCTTTCTCACACCTTGCTCACACCTGGATATTGGACTTCCAGTCTCCAGAACAGTGGGAAGATAAATTTCTGTTCCTTAAGCCACTGTCTTGCTACCATAGGAAGCGTGTCCCTGCACGCACACACTAGACACTCGCTGCTTCTGAGTAGCTGAAAGTGCCTTGCACAAGTGCCACTCTGTCAGGGGACGGTGGCCCCATCAATTATGTGGAGCTAATGCTGCAGCACTACTCCTCCACCACTCAGTCTCGGAGTCCCCAAAGTCAGCAGAGTCTGTGCCCCAACGAATGCCACTTCTGGGCATCCCCAGAACCATGGTGAATGGCTGGAGGTCTGGGCTGTCACAGCAACCTCTATAGCAGAGCATCCAAGCCACCCAAAATGTGGGATGACACAGCCAAGGAGGAAACTCCACACAGGCAGGTCAGAAATCCGGGACAGTCCCACAAGTCATGGCAGAGGAGGAGACAGGAGCTATCAAGGCTGGGATTCGGGGTTGGCCCCTCTTCAGTAGCTGCTGCACCGCTTTCTACTGCATGTGCGTGGCAGCGAGGGCAGCACCACCAGGGGCTGAGCCCAGGAGCTGGGGCATGGAGCCATGGAGAGGAGCCGGAGGGCATGGGCTCCCGAGCCAGAGGAACAGGTTTTCGGAGAGGCCGGGGGAGGAAGCAATGCGGATGCCCAAGCAGGTGTCCTGTGCTGTTGCTGGCAAAATCCACTCATATGAGCCTCTTACAGTGTAGCTTCAAAACTCAGTCATAGGGCTGGGGATTTAGCTCAGCGGCAAAAGCGCCTGCCTGGCATGCGCAAGGTCGTGAGTTCGGTTCCCGGTACCGGAGAAAAACCAAAAAAAAAAAAAAAAAAAAAAAAACTCAGTCATAGATATGCTTGAAGGAAAGGGTAAAGGGGTCACCATTAAGAAGCAAGTTTGAACACAGCCCAGGCCCAAGGCCACCAGGCAAGGACACGCTGGTTCAAGTGGGCTAGGGAGCTGGTCGGGGGCAGTTCTCGGAAGCTGAGCCCCTAGCTTCCTTCTGGCACCTCACTAGCAGACTACATCAGCTCCCCTAGAAAATGTTTTCATAGCTCGTTGCATTTTCTTTCATTTCATTGGTGATTCTGGATTTGCGAGATCATTTAATGATATCTGTCTTTCCCGCCATGCTGTATGGTGGTGACAGCAGCTGCGCTGTTTTAGTCTCCATCATATTCCAAGTCCCTACCATGGTCCCTGGCAAAAGTAAACTCTCAAGAAATATTTGTTGAATGAGTAAATGATCTGATTAATGTTGATAGTGCCTTCCGAAGAGAGCCTCGTCCCTGGTGCAGGACGCTGGGATGCATGGAGGACCAAGGACAGAGGGACCATCCTCCCAGGGCTGAACTGAGCAGCCTGTGACTACCCAGCCTCAGGACCGCAGGTGACAGGGACTCCGTGCAGACCTGGAGAGCATCTCACGACTAAGGAACGCCAAGTGCTGTGGAAGGCCGGGGAGGCCCTCAAGAGCAGGGTTCTGGGGACCTTAGAAAGGACTTTGGCAAGCGCAGCCTGGAAACTGCTCATAAGGGGACAGAGGTCTGCCTTGGATCGAGATGTGGTATAAGCAGGAGAAGGTGGCCTGCACACAGCTGTCAGTGCCTCCGAGCCTTTCCCGGAGCCAACAGGACCGGACAGAACTTTCTTCCCCAAGATTTTCTGCTAGGAGGCAGGATCTCACAATGAGAAAGAAACTGGCTGGAATTTTAACCCAAATTCTAGTCCTGGATTTGGCTCAGACCCACTAGGTGACCTTGGGCAAGTTCCTTCACCTCCCAGAGCTACTTCTTCCACGGTTTCTAGTGTGGCTTAGTTTAAGAGCCGCGCATGCCACCTTTGACCTGTTTGCTGCCGTTTTCAAGGAACAGAGTCCTGGGGCACGATTCAGCTGAGGTTCCTGCTCAGACCCCGCGAGTACCTAGAATCAGCCTGAACCCCTCTTCCGCTAATGTCCTCTCTCTCATCAGCCACGCTGTCTCCACATAAGGGCACAGCATGGACGATTGCCTTTAAAATTGCTTTCTAAAAGGCACGCACGGCAGGCACAGTGAAGGCAGGATGGCGGTTGGCATCGTTTGCGGCTCCCATCGTGAGTGACAAAGCCTTGCCGGTGTGGGAGTGGAGCTCAGGACGCACGGCCGAGGACTTGGGTGAGTCTATTCACAGCGCCTCCCCTCTGCTTCTGCACTCAGTCTGAGTTCTCCCAAATGCTACAGTGGCCCATCCTGGTTTCTGAGCCCTCACACTGTACTCAGCAAGCAGTGCTCAAAAAGTCCCAAAGACCTGCAACAGGAAGCCACTTTCCGGAGCATCCCAGCAAAGCTTTGTCTTGGGACCAGACACAGGTAGTGCAACATGGGGCCTTTGCCCTGAACAACCTCCAATGCCGGGAGGTGCCAAATTACTACCTTGGTTTCAAGGGATGGTCAGAGGGTCATCAAGATAATCTCTGCTGAACCAAGAATGCGGGCTTTATTTTTGTTGCACTGATTTATTGAGTGGATATGGCTTTTATAATAATCAGCCAATTCCACCTGTGCCTGGAAAGTACCAGCGCTACTGAACAGCCACTGGTGTGCTCCCCGGGAGTTCTGCACTGGGGTGAATGTTACCAGCTGTGCTCAAAGGAAACCTGAGAATGAACAGAGAGACCCTAACCAGAAATGCTCTCACAGCTCCACAGCTGTGAAGGCTGAGACCCTGAGCAATCCCAGCTGAGTTATTAAAGGCCTTGATTTGCTTGTAGGAAGTAGATCTGATTGGTCTCAGCCTTTCTGCCCAGGTAGCCCTGAAAGTCACATTTCTGCAGTCATGGGATGGAATTTCCATCAGTGTCAACAGTAACAACCTTTAGGAACCAAACTAAATATCCAGCACATCTGAGCCGCTGGCAGCCCAGCCCTGTCCACTCCACCCTACGCTATGGACAGCTGGAGGCCGGGAGCCATCCCAGTCTGAGCCTCATGGTGCACCCCATCCTGCCTCATGATGAGGGAGGCCGCCCTGGAAAGGCCCACTACCACCTCCCCTGGGGAAGGGGAACTGAACCTGGATAAAGCTCCTCATGCTGCACAAGCTCATCTGGGTCTGACGTAATAAAGGCTTCCTTAGCAAAGACGTCATAAATAAAGGGTGGGGCAGCACATCCTTGGTTGCCAAGGCTCCCAGGCAAGTGGCTGTCAGAAAGGTTCCGCTCCACAGGCCAGAGTGCCTGCACTCACTCCACTGGCCAGGGTGGCTGTGTCCCAGTCATCCTGGTCTCCTCCGCTATGTTCCTGCGGCACCCCTGGGTGCCCGGACTTCTCACCTGGCAGCAGTTGTGGTTACTGGTCCTGGTGGCTCCATTTCCAGAAAAGCATTGGATCCTGCTGACCACCAAGCCCTCAGAGCCCAGGGAGCCCTGGTCTTTGCCTGATCTCCTGCCGGAATTGTCCAACGCCCTTACTGCTCAGACACAGCCGGAGGGCTTTGGTAAAGTAGCATCCTCTGATCCCTCCCAGGGCTTGGCTCCACCTCTAAAATCCCCTGAACGAATTGGACTTTCTCAGGTCCAACCGGAGGCCCACACTGGAAATCAAACGACTGTAAAGGCCCAGTCCTCTTCATCTCACCAGGAAGCCAAAGATGACCTCTTGCAGCCCCCTGAGGAAGCTAAACCTTCTCTAACCCAGCAGGACACCCAAGATCAGTATGAACTTGGTCCTGAAGAGGGTATAGATCAGCTGTTGATACACCAGGAGCCAAATGCTCCATCTCCCCATAGGAATAAAGCGCATCGTTTGGACATGCTATTTGTCACAGTGAGACCTGTGGACACGGAGCTTACCAAAACTGCAGAGGCAGAAAAGGAGCCACAACCTACTTCAAGCCAGGAGCAGGCCCCAGCCCAGCCTGCACAGAGTCCTGAGGAGGTGAATCTTTCCTCAACCCAACAAGAGGTCCTGCCTCAGAGTGCAGAGCTCTCTAAAGAGGTGAAAACTTCCTCCACCCAACATGAGCCCCCAGCTCAGCCTCTACGCCCTCTTGTGAGGGCTAAATCTTCTACCACTAAGCACACAGAGACAGCTCAACCTTCTGAGTCTTCTGGGGCAGAAGAATCTTCTGCAAGCCAGTCAGAAGGCTCAGTTCAGCCCACACAGAACACTGAAGAACTGAAAACTTCTCCAACCAAGCTGAAGCAACCACGTAAGTTTAAAGGGCATCATAAGAAAAGAGTGTCAACTCCAGATCACCACCATGCTAAGCATCCACACTTGCCCCTCGTGACTGGTAAACCCCCAAATCTACAGTTTGCTATAAGCCCAGAACCCACCAAAGAGGAGGGGATCTTTCAAACCCATCCTGAGGGTACAGTTCAACCCTTGGCTCCAGTGATTGATGTGGAATCTTCTATAAGTCATCAAGAGGACCCCGATCTGCTTCCTGAGCCCTCTGAAGGGGCCGAGCTCTTACCGTTTCAACAGGAGGCTTCAGCTCAGTCTTCAGAACCTGACCAGGAGGAGACTACGGTTGGCAATTCACAGACTTCTGAGGAGGATGAACCACCTTTGACCCCTCAGGAGCCATCTTTGAGCTTAGCTCAGCCTCCAGAACTGCATGAGGCAGCAGCTTCTCCTCTGGGTGATGATCAAGTTCAGCCTCCAGCGTTGAACAGTGTTACTGTTACATCTGCTGAGTCATCCAGTGAGGTTGAAATTGCAAGTTCACCTGAACAGGAGCCTCCAGCTCAGTTCTCAGTGTCCCCTGAGCAATTTGAACCTCTCAGAGACAGTGAAGAACTTATAACTCAGCAGGCAAACCCTGCCATACAAGATGAAAACTCTCCATTAGATAGCGGGCTCTCAACTCCACCTGCAGAGCTGCCTAGGGGACATTCTACAAGCCAGCTGGGGAGCTCATCTCCATTCCCAGACTTCTCTGCCAATGGAGCAGTTTCACCAAGCCAGCAAGAGTTCTCAGATCAGTCTTCGGAAACCCTCATGAAATTTACTGCTTCTCTTTTTCTGACAAAAAGTGTAACATTTTCAACCCAATGGTCAGAGCCATCTGAGGACACAGAACTATCTTCAGTCCCTCAGGAGGGTGCTGCTCCATCTTCAGAGCCACCAAACAAGATGGAACCTTCTGGAGCTCAGGAGATGACCACACCTCAGCCTGCAGAACTCTCTGAGATAGAAGAAACATCTCCTGCACAGCAGCAAGCCATGGCTACCCTTCTAAATCCTTCTGAGGAGGGAGAACTTTCTTCAACCCAGCCCATGTTGCCGTCTCAGCTTCCAAATGAGAGAACAACTCACCCTCCGTCTCATGATGAGATGACAGTTTCAACACCCTCAGGGTCAAGCTTGACAGTCACGTTTAATCCCTCAGACTTACAAGTCACCTTTATTACAGAACCTAGTGTAGAGGATGAGCTTTCCACAGTCATGAAGAAGGCTACATCTCTCCCTCCAAAGCACCACACGAGGACGCTTCCACCTCCAACCGAGGCTCAGGCTCAGCATCCAGAGCTCAGTCTGATCACAGTTCGACCTTTGCGCCGGAAGCTTGACAAAACTTCACAAATGAGTACAACCGTTAGGCCTTCTCCAACTGTGCAGGAGACCCTATCTCAGCCTCCAGAACCACCTAAGGAAACTGACATTCAAACTGCAGTGCCTCATAAGGTCAAAGTTTTGACTCCAGGTCTGGAGCCAGCTCATTATCCAACATCACCCAGGGTCACAGAGCAACATTTGAACCTGGAGCTCACAACTCCAGCACCCTCTATAGAGGCTCAGTATTCTGTAGGCCTGCAGAAAGCTGTGCCCTCTCCAGAGCACCCTCAGGTGACACTTGTACACCTGAAGCAGACACAGGCTCAGCATCCAGACCTGGATGAAGTCACTGTTGAGTCTTTGGATGTGGAACTTACGATCACTGAGTATTCTGTCAGTTATTCTACAGGAAAGACTTTCGGTGGGCAAGAGAAGCAGAAGGCCAGGACAAACACCGACATATGTGAGCTCTGTTCCTGTGAAGATGAGACCTTGTCGTGTACTGGTCTCAGCCCAAAGCAGAAGCTCCAGCAAGTGCCTGTACTAGAACCCAACTCCTCTTTCACCACCATAAACTTCCAAGAAAACTCTATTTTTTACCTTGCTGAGAACATTTGGACAACATACAAGTGGGCTCAGAAACTAAATCTCAGTGAAAATGACCTGACTGAATTACATAAAAATTCCTTTAAAGGCCTGCTGTCCCTCCAGTATTTAGATTTATCCTGCAATAAAATACAGTTTATTGAAGCACAGACATTTGAACCACTACCTTTTTTGCAGTTTATAAATCTTCGCTGCAATTTACTCACACAACTGGGCTTTGGAACATTTCGGGCATGGCACGGAATGCAGTTTTTACAAAAAGTCATCCTCAATCATAATCCTCTGGCAACTGTTGAAGATTCCTATCTTTATAAATTGCCAGCATTAAGATATCTAGACTTGGGGACAACGCATACCCCGCTTCCAGTGGTCGAGAACATCCTCATGATGACACTCGGATTGAAAACGCTGATCGTACCAAGGCACATGGCCTGCTGCCTCTGCCAGTTCAAAAGTAGTATCGAGGTTGTCTGTAAAACAGTCAAGCTGCACTGTGACAACGCCTGTGAGACCAATGCCACACAGTGTCTTGAGGAAGCCCCCATAGGAAACACAGAAGGGGCATTCATGAAGGTGTTACAGGCCCGGAAGAAGAACACCAAGACCGAGCTGGTGATCGAGCCTGAAAAGCCATCTTCAGAACAAAGCGATGCCAACTGGTCGGACTTCAAGGACGAGGAGGATGACTCTAATGACGAAAGCGAAGTGATCGGGGCCCTCAATTACATATTGCCGTATTTCTCAGAGGAGAAGCTAGAAGATGTGAACTCATTACTGCCATTCATTCGACTGCTTTTTTCAAAGGTACACAATGACGCTCATTCCCAGGGTGATTTGACAGGCAACAGGCAGAGCCCCTCTCATCAGCAACCTGGGTCCACCAGTTCGGCTTACAAAAATGAGCTGAAGAAGCTGTATTTTCTACGAAACTGGTTAAATGCAGAAATTCAGGGTAAAATTGAGGAGGTTAAGAAGAAAGAGAAAACAGGCAAGCTTATGCCGTCCAGCCTCTCAAGTTCTGAATTTCAAAGCATTCCCAAGAGTTTGGCAGGTGCTCAAGCACAGGGGAACAGCCTGGTAGAGGATCAGCACAGAAGTCGGAGCCTGCGGACAGTGGACCAGCTCCTCAAGGGCCCGAAGGGCATACGGAAAAGGCTGCTCAAGGAAAGGCAGAAACGAGCCCGGGAGAAGCTGAGCATTCAGCCGCCCCTGGAACACACCGCAGATGAGTGGAGCCTCAGCAGGCCCAGCACAGGGAAGCGCGGGCAGAAGGAGAGGGTGCTGAGGCCTCGGAACTCCGCCAAGGTGAAGCTGTTCCCTATAGAACAGAAGGCACCGGTGCCTTCCTCTCTGCAGGGTCTCGAGCCGGGCAGCTCACCCATCTCCACTTCTGCCAGTGAGCTGGGGGGTGCAAAACACTGGGTGAAAGACCTCAGCAGCAGCATTTTGCTTTTAGAACACGCCGGTGCTAGAGTTAAAAGCATGAAAGCTGCGAAACCAATCTTAGCTTCCCAAGAAAGCTTTTCTGAAACTCACACTCTCATGCCCCACAGAACGCCCCAGCCCAGGCCCAGGGAACCACTTGCGAAGAAAAGTGTCCGCCAGAGGCTGAGGAGCGCAGAGAGGCCTCTGTTCTGGGCTCTGAGGAGCCTCATCCACTCCCCACCGCAAGGGCTGCCCTCTTCCTCGGGAGACTTGAGTGCCCCGGAGAACGGCCTCTCCCAGTTACACGCTCAGGCCAAATCCTCCGGAGGAGGCACTGCCGCAGGAAACCAAACCGAAGGAAACACCCCTGCAAGAAATGTTCCTGCCTCACCCGTCTACGCCCCGGTTTCTGTCGTGACTGCCCTCACCCTGATGTCCAGCGATGACCACACCAATGACATGAGCTTGGGGTACCCCAGCACCAGCGCCCCCTCGCCCCTCAACGACCTCTCTTTCCCCTCGCTGCCGTCGCCCGGGGATCAGTTTGAGAGCCAGCTAAACCAGCAGCTTCACGTCCTCATTCCCAACAAGGAGGTGAGGAAGCTCATTTCCTACGTTATCCGCACTTTGAAAATGGACTGCTCCGAGCCCCGCGTGCAGCTGGCCTGCGCCAAGCTCATCTCCAGGACGGGGCTCCTGATGAAGCTGCTCAGCGAGCAGCAGGAAGAGAAGGTGGCCCAGACACAGTGGGACACGGAGCAGTGGAAGAGCGAGACCTACATCAACGAGAGCGCAGGAGAGGCGGGCGGTCAGAAGGGGCAGCGGGGGTCCAAGGGCGAAGAAAGGACGCAGGACGTCCCAGGCCATGGCTTGAACAACAAGCTCATTATTGTCATATCCGTAACGGTGGTCGTGATGCTTCTGATCTTCATTTTATGTCTCATCGAGATTTGTTACCATAGAACAGCTTCGGAGCAAGAAGGGTCCTCAAGGGGCTTTTTCCGTCGAAGGAAGCCCACACCAGACCAGAGTCAGGAGGGCTTCTCCTGGTTTTGGAGGACACTGTTGCTTAGGAACCTGAAGAGACCCGCCACCCGCCAGCAAACCGCGGCGCGGAAGGAACACGACTCCTCCGATGAGGAAGTGACGACCACCAGGGACACCGAGGAGCTCAGCGAACCCATGGAAGAGGAGGCGCTCACAAAGTCCACGGTCTCAGAGCCCCAGCCCGAGCCCGCGCCCAAGGAGGAGCCCCCGCCGACAGAAGAGTGACCCCGTCCTCCCTCGCGGTGACCAGCAAATTTTATTTTGACATTGCTTATACAATAATTAATTACCTTTCTCAGATTACAGTATATGAAATTCGAAATAAAGTAAAAGGCACACACGTGCATCCTGGCTGTGCTGAATTGACCCGGAGCTGGGACTAATTTGACTCAGGGGCTGAATTGCCACCGTGGCACTGGCTGTGGGGATGTCACTGAGAGGGGTTCTGAGGGCCAGACTTAGCGACTCTCCCGGGCAGGGGAGATAGAGCCCTGGCTCCATGTGTGAAGGAGCAATGTGACCCTACAAGGACAGCAGGTACCAACCACGGGGCATGTTTTACTCCCTTATCCACTTAACTGTCCACCTCCCCAGTGTGTGTGTGGATGGACGGACGGAGATGGATGCGACACACAAATGGCATGCTCCAAAGCATACTTTTTTGTGTGTGCTGGGGATCAAACTCAGATCTTTCACATGGAGCTCAGTTTTCTTTTATTTTGACACGGGATCTTGCTAAATCACTATGTTGCCTGGGCTGAGTTCATACAGTTCTCCTGCCTCAGCCTCCTGGAGTGCTGGGATTACAGGTGTGAGCCACCACACTTGGCTGGAACATACACTCTTGGTGTCTGGCCCTGACACCGCAGGTGTGTGCACCTAAACTTGATCAAGAGCAAAGTAGGCAGAGGGTCCAGTCCCAGCTTATGGGCGTAGTGTGTTACATCATCAGCCTTTCCAGAGCCCTTTGCCCCGGAGGAGTGTTTCCCCCAGGTGATGAAGGAATCTGGGAGGGGTGGTGCTGATGGAAGATGCCCTTCCGCTCCACTCCAGACACAAATCAGTGAAGGCTAATCACAAAGAGGCAAGCTACCAGCACCCACTCCAGAAGCCAGTGCCCAGTGCTCGTGGCCCCTCTCACTGTTCCACAATGTCCTTAACCCCAAGAGATATATTCCCTGCCTCTGGTCACTCATAGGAAAGATCAGTGTCATCTTTTACACTGAAGGTGGATTGAAACATGTTCAGGTGCCTTTATTCTTGAGTGCAAGGCTGTGACCCGCACTCCAAAGGCCCACTGTGGGGCTCAGAGATGAGAGCTGACTTGCCCATTGGCCTCTTCCAATTGTCCAGAGCCAGAGCTCAAAGAGGGAGACCATTTACGGAGCACTGACTGCGTGTCAGACAGTGCTGCCATCCCCGAATAATCTAGAGCCTGCTAAGGAATGCTGGCAAATAGGCACCCTAGAGCATAGAGCTGGAATGATTCAGCGAGCGACAGCAAGAAGCTGAACTGAGGTGCTGGCAGTGGGGATGGAGAGAAGCGAATGGAACTGGGAGAGATTGAGAGTGGAGAACAGGGCTTGCGTGAGGTGGGCGTCGTGTGACTGACTGCTGGGGACCTTTGTTGCACAGAGGGAGATGGATTTAAGGAAACTGAAGATGGGTTCCACTTTACATGGGTGGATGGTGAGGTCCCACGCATCTTCCAAGGGGGGAAGTCCATTAGGTAGAAGAATAAGTTAATATCAGGTATCATTTAAAGAAAAGGGGAAATAATCAGACATGCAAGCTGAAATTTTGCATGGGTTCTCTTACCTGAGAAACCCAAACTATAAACAAAGAGCAAAATAAAACATCACAGGAAATAAGAAGCTCTTTTGCAAAAGGAAAAGGGGTCAAGAGATGGAGGGGGACGGGACAGGGAAGGAGGGGAGGGAAGGAAGAAAGCCTGAAGCTCGGTTCTGTACAGGGGCCGACTCCCAGTGGAGAATGTAATCATTATGTACTGCAGACATGCACTAGTAAAACAATACAATCAGAAAAAAGGAAAAGGAAAGCCACTTTGGTGGCACATGTCTCTAATCCCAGCACTCTGGGAGGCTGAGGCAGGAAAATTACGAAGTCTGAGCCCAGCCTGAGCAAATTAGCCACTTAGCAAAATTAAAAAAGAATTGGGGATGTAGCTCAGTGTGAAGACCCTAGGTTCAATCTTAGCACTGAAAGAAAGACAGAAAGGAAGGAAGGGAGGGTGGAAGAAAGGAAGAAAAAGAGGGAGGAACAGGAGAGGGAAGTTTCATCATTTTAATATTTTTAAGCTTTAGTGTTTTAGAGTTACATGACCTCCTACTTTTGAGAAAAGGCTGATTTATGGCTCTGCTGTCCCTCCTATGTCTTATTTTTGAAACAAACACTACATCAGCCCTGAGAGCAACTGAAGAGGAGCCAGGCCAGACCAGTGGGGAACGCGGTTCGCATTTAACAGCGCTGTTTGGTGAGCTCTGCCTTGCACCTCCCACTCCATCAACCCTGAAGGACATTTAGTTCTTCTGTGTCCTCTCAATGCAATTCCTATCTGCATCACCCCAGGCATATCCAGGAATAAGCTCAACAGAAGCAAGTGACCATCCTGTTAAGCCCAGCCACAGTGACACTCCAAGTCTTGTGCCTTTGAAACCCAAACAAAACTTACTAGTAAATCTCGTACCCCTGACCATAAGGTGGACAGTTTCACTGGAGGTTAGAAAAAAGACTGAAGCCTCTCTGAAACTTCTGGATGTTAAGAAAAAAGTCTCAGCATTCCCTGATTAGAACTCAGACTGGATGGGAGAAGCGTTCTGGTTCTCTGAGCAAAGATAAAATCTACTTCCTGCCCCTGTAGAAATTCACATATTCATTCACTGAACCAACAGGTTGAGGGTCTCTTTTGTGGGACAGGGTGGGACACAAAGATTAAACATTACTGTGTCTCCCAAGGAAGTGACACAGGATTGGTTGGGACTGGTGGCAAGTTGTGCTCTCCTTACCAGTATTTTATAGATGATGAAAATAAGACAGGGAAGTTAAGCTATTTCTCCAAGGTCAGTAGTTAGTAAGTGAATGAATTAAAACCAAGCAATCTTTATTAAAGGTGACTCTGTTGGGCAAGTGGCAAAGGCCTACTTTATAGGACCTACAGTGACAGGTTGGCCCTCAAGCTGGAGTGGGGACAGCGGGCAGTGTTTCCAAGTGGAGACTCTCTTATGGAAAGGCCAGGCATATTTGGAGGTGTGAGTGGTGGTCCAGCTTGGGAATTTAAGAGTTCTTGAAATGGATCAGCTATGAAGGGTTACTTTTAGCAGTATCGTTTCCCCGCTGTAGATAATTGGAGGTTACAGAACATCACTGAGCTCGGGTAAGGCAATGAGAACTCTACTCTAGGAAAAAGAAATACCACCTACACTTTAGCCTCTTAGTGCAGTAAGTAGAAAAGAGAAGAGTTATCCAGAGTGCCTGGTATAGTAGTTAGAGTTAAACTGTTTGCTGTCACACATAGATGCCTCCTAAAAAGTATACTAGTTCAAAAATGGGATAATCTTTTCTTGTTCACATAGTCAAAAAAAAGTGGGAGCTTCTAATATCTCTCATCGAAGGTATAAGCCATGGACTCCGTCTCTTTTGACCTTTGGCTCTGCCATCTTCACCATGTCCTAATTCATTCTACCATGTAGATAAAGACATCAAAAAGGGAAAGAGTTGGAGATACACCTGCTGTTTAAATCTCCTAGTGATCTCTGTTCCGTCCCACAGGGAGGCATCTGGCTCTTCCTAGGCATGTGGGGACTGCAACTATAGTCCCTGACTCCGTTAGTCAACTTTCTTCTTGCTGACATAATGCCCAGTGCCCACAGTTTAAAGGAGGATAGGTTTATGCTTTATAGTTCAAGGGACTCAGTCCATGGTGGACAGGCTCCAAGCCTGGAACATCATAATGGAAAGACGTAGACGAGCACAGTGCCTCAGTTTATGGCAGCCAGAAGGCAGAGCAAGGGAACAAAGCCAGAGAGGAGCAGGTGCGAGGCCGGAAGTAGGACCCAAGACCACGCCTCCATGAGACACCCAGACACACCCAGGAGCATGCTCTACCAATCTACTACACATCTCTCAAGCCAATGAAGTTCACAAATCAGGATTAACAGTCACCGACTAAACAGCCACTTCTCTCTGACTCTGCATTTTGGTGGAAAGTTAGTCATCTCTACCATGAGGAAAGAAAAACTTATTTCCCCTTCAGCAACAACTTTTCAAATAGTCTAGCACCTCATTTTGGAGCATGGTTGAGGAATGAGTTTTACAAGCAAATGAGGCTTAAAATAACATCAGCACAGTCCCTTTTAGCACCAGATCTTATTTGCCTAATTGTTTTGGAAGGTTCAGATTGATTTTGTACTTCGCCGCCTAGGTGAGCAAAGCTTAACTTCATTTAAGCATTTCCCGATGACTTAGAGAGACTGTTATGAACGTCACTTATTGTAATGCAGTGTGTTATGTATACCAAGTGTTGGTGTGCAGGAAATGTTCACTCTTGCGCTAAATGCTTGCTGAATTCCAGGCTGTTCTGTTAAGATGCCTCTTTGACCTTTCCAGTTCTAAAGTTTTTATAGTCACTATGTCTTCTCAGTGCTTCTAATTTTTCTACATTTCTTCATGGTAAGTTCTCCTGACATTTGTGTTACCCACTAGTCCCTCCCTCTTTATGTCTTCTTTTACCTACTTTTAAGCTTCTCTAATGTTCCTTTCTGCCCAGTCCTTCCATTCACTTTGCTTTGCATGTTGCGTTGGAAAGAACATACACACTTGGGACTGGCCTTCGCCTGGATGCCCACCCAAGCCACGCCTCCAGAACTCTGGAACCTAGAGCAGTCTAGCTGCCGAGCTTATTTCCCCAAATATAAACCAAAGCAATAATGTAGCTTTTAAAGATTTACCTTAGGACTAAGATAGTAATCATATTAAAACTTTCTCTGTAAAAACTGGTAGTAATTTCTTTGTTTTGGTTTTGGGTGGGTTTTTTTTTTTTTAGTGGTTGTTGTTGTTTGCTTTTTCCAGTACTGGGGATTGAACCCAGGGCCTTTGTACTGAGCTACATCCCTGGCCCTTTTTTTATTTTTCATTTTGAGACAAGGTCTCACTCAATTGCCCAGACCAGACTCAAACTTGCAGTCCTACCGCCGCAGCCCCCTAGAGTACAGTCATTATTTTTACGTGAGCAATTACAGGGTTTGGTTTTTATTGGCATCATCAATACAAATAGAACCAGCCCATAGGACTCCAGAGAGTTAGATCCAGGTACAGACAAAGGAAGAGCTAAAATAAGGGAGATGCCTCCATGAGGCAGATAGCTGAAGCCAGGAGTCCAGCTTCTGAAGATCTCCATGGAGTTATGGATCTATTACCGTGCTGAGCAGAATCTAAAGACAGCCCGAATGTAGATGGAGGAAGCTAAAAGAAGAATACTGAGAAAAGAAGAAGACTGAGTGAAAATCTTCCCTGTTTCTAAAAAAATAAAAGAAGTTTTCTAAACCTTTATCTCCCCGCCCCCTTTTACAACAGGATCTCACAACATAGCTCAGGCTGGCTTTGTACTATACAGCCCAAAATGGCCTCAAACTCGCAGTGCTGTGCTTCAGCCTCCTGAGTCGGGGTAGGGGGTGTTCACAGGCGTGCCTCTCCATGCCCAGCTGTGAAATATTGAAATCTGTCAAGCTGTCAGTACTCTCTGCTTTTCACTCCCAGACTTCTGAAGAAGCAGGAATGCCTACCTCTTCCTGCCAGGAACAAGCTTCAGAGTACACTGCAGACCCTCCCAATCTCACACGGCCAGAGGAACAAAGACAGTTGTGACCTGGGAAGTCTGCCTGCGAAGCTCCATGACATAAACAGACGGTGCTTAATAACAATGTGCTGAGCAAAAGACAAGGAGAAAGGAGAAATGGGATTGCTCCCTAATGCAGAGCAAGCTGCTATGGCCAGAGGACGCATCACATTCAGCAAGCAGGTGGCAAAGTGCATCTTCAGTGCCCACCATAGCTGATGCCTGTCAGTGCCTGGCACAGAGGAGGCCGTGCCTGAGGCAGCAGTGCAGCCCCAGCCTCGAGCTCTGCGCATTAGCAGACGTCTCGTGGCTCATCCAGAGGCTAATCACTGAGCTTGACAAAGGGAAGCATTATGAGTTTGGTTACTCTTGTGTTTCCAGGTGAGGTGCTGAGTTTTTATCCAGGTTGCTGATGACGGATTGTCCACCCCCAGAACCCCTAAACTAAGTAGTTAAGTGAATTCACCATAAGCTGGAGAAGCAGCGTCCACACTGACAGAATCGCGTTATCTGCTGCTTGGCAGTCATCAATTTCCTCCATGTTGCTCATTCTGGAAACTCCCTTATGCTTAGATAGCAAAAGGACTAGACACCAGGTTAGAGCGTACCGGCTTAGTTTGTGTTCCTTCCACAAGAAAAATGACTTGCCCCAAATTAAATATTCTACTTTGGGTGGTTTGTCTCCTGGTCTACACCCAGGCCTATCAACTAGAAATGGAAATGGGGAAGGCTCTGATTCTTGAATAATCCTCTAACTTGCATGAACTAATTTGTTTCTCATACAGCAAACACTGAGTGAGTAGCTCTGTGTAGTAGCTCCTGGAGATAATGTGCAGACTTCAACCCCCACACACCCAGACCCGGTTCTTCAGACCCTTTGGGTGTTGTGGGAAAGAGAGACTGACTGGGGATTAGAGACGGAAGCGTCTTGAAGGGAGATGTAGGATACTAACCTAGTCGGGCTAGTTGGAGAGTAGGGAACGTTCCCTGAAGATGCTTTGAAGGGGAGATAAAGGAATTACAAGCCTATGGATGGGGAAGGAGGTATGGAGGGAAATCTTGACTGTCATCATCTCAGTGGAGTGACAAAGTGACTATGGAGCACACTCAGGCTCTCGGGGGAGCAATGCCTTATGCATTGTACCATGCAGAGCTACACAGAGCTACAAGGTCAAAGTCAGTATGGGTGAAATATACAGACAATAGGGCGTGGGAGATGCAGGGAGACTTGTTATCAGTGAGTCAAGTGGAAAGACAGTGAGTGAATGGAAGGACCATGTCCTCAGGCAGAAGGAGGCTTCTAAAGGCATTGAGAGGACAGGGCTTCTAATTAGATGTGCATTTTAGGGGCCATCCTACCAGGCGTGGAAAAGAAACCAAGGGATGTGACCCAGCTGGCCATGATCAGCTGAAGACATGGAAAGCTGAACCAGGGGTTGGGCCAGCAGGAAGCAGTGTACCAGTGGATAGAAACAGTTAAAATGATCAGAGACAGGTGGTGGAGCGAGAGATCAGTGAGTGACTGGGCTGAGGTGAGAAGGTGTGGCAGGCTCTCCAGAGGAATCTTTCTACAGCTGTAAGAATTGCACCCTAGGAGTACTAACAGCTGCTCCTCAGTGAGTGTCAACCATGGCCATTTTATAGATGAGAAAACTGAGGCTGGGAACAGGCAGCACATGCCAGGAAATCACTGCACTGAGATTTGCACCAAGCCCAACTCCCACAGCAGTGCCCTTTATTCAGCATCATAAAGTTATTGTTCTGTTTACTTAGATGTTTTTCTCACTTGGTCAACTGAAATGTCAGCTTCCCCTTGCATTTGATTCCGTTGTATGCCAGACTCCAAGTTCTTGTAATTCCCTGGCCTTTGAGCCTCGATCCTCCATTATCTTCCCAGGTTGGGGTGGGACTGTGTTGACTTTAGGCCTCTTTCCAACACAGCAGAGGGCAAAGGCGCCAGTTCTGTGGAATCAGGCTCTTCTGGGTCACGAAGCATCACCTTCCTCTAATGGCAGTGCAGCTTTTTGTTTGTTTTAATGAGCACATGGGGCCTTTCTGTCTGTCTCCTCCTAGAGGAAGCAATTACAAATGAGAGCCCGCAGAAGGAAACCTCATCAGGTAGCTAGGGGAGGAGGCGAGGTGAGCCAGAGAAAAATCCCAAGGAAGAGTCATCTGTTACGTGGGCTCATACTTCAAACAGCATGTCTGCACCCGTGCGGGACAGAGGCGAGTCATCTGCTGCGTGCAGAGAAAGTACGGTGCCAACGAAGCGAGAGATCTCCCTCCTGAGCACCTGCTGCATCCCTGCACAGCGCACCTCCATACCCTGGCCCGGCATTAAACACTTCCGCGATGCTCTGAGTGCTTAATCTTTGTCATAGAATAAGTGGGACAGGCAATCAGGAGGGGCCTCCTGAAGGAGGTGACTTTTGAGCTGTGACCGGAAAGATGAATAGGGACTCAGGAGCCAAGTATATGAATAACTGTCAGAAACAGAAAGGCAAGGCCCAGTCAGAAGGGCTTCAGCATGGGGGGCAAGTGCAAGAAGGAGAGACTCCAGCCAAGTAAAGAACTTGGAGTTTACCCGAGGGACGAGGAGAAGTGAAGGGGGTGGGGATAGGCAGAGGCTTTCCAGTGGTGACCAAGTATTAGCATTCCAGTGCCTCCAGAACAGATTACACTGTCGGCATGACTTCCACTGATAGGAGTTCAGGCTCACAGACCTGGAGGATAGAAAACTGAACATAATCTGTTGACACAACCCTGTCGCCTTCCAAATCTGCAGCCAGGGACTCCTTGGTGCTCGTAGGCTGCAAAACTCTGGGTTTCCATGTCTCCTGGGCCCCGCCCTAACCCAGGATGCCCTGTCTTGAGGTAGTGTCCATTGCATCGGCAAAATCTCTACTTCCATAGGAGTCACTTTCATCAGTTGTGAGGAGAGGCTGCACTGGCCCCCAAGAGGCCCAGTAGGCTGACTGATGGGGCAAGGGCAGTCTGCCCCACCTCAGGCAGTGGCAGTCAGCATCTTCCCATAGCTGGGGATAGAGATGTTTTCTGGTTACTCCTGGTGGCTTCTCCCACACAAGCAGGCAGCTGCCCTGCCACATGAGGGTGGCGGGTCAAAGTATCTATCGTCCATCCATCTCTACAAGACCACTTCCGCATTTAGGTTCTATCTCAAGTGTACCATTAACTCGTGATTTGTTTTCAGGGAGTTCCCACTGGCTTGGAACAATCCAGGGACATAGGCGGATCTCTGTCGATTTTCAGCAGTGAAGAGATCTGGGCTTCAGCCCAGCTGCTCCCTGTAGGTCAGGACCTAGTGGGCATCCCATAATGCCCCAAGCTTCAGCTTCCGCTGGAAGACAAGGGTATGGCTGTGGCACAGTGGTCCTGCATGTTGAGGATGGGTCAGAATCACCTGCAGGGCTCTTCAAAACACAGACTGTGGGCCCCACCCCAGAGCAGCTGATTCTGTAGGTGTGGGGTGAAACCTGAGATCATGCATTTCTACCAAGTTTCCTGACCTTGCTGCTGCTGGCTGGGAAGCCAAGCTGTGAGAATCACCGGCCGAGGTCAACTGGAGACTTCTGCCAGGCATATTATTCTGTGCTTCTGTGAAGTGCATTTCAATGTAATAAGACTAGCTGCTGTGAATTGTCTAACCCTTGTTAACAAAAATTTGAATTCAGTACAGAAATATATCCTACCCACCTTATTTTTCCTTCTGAGTTTACCTCTCCAGAGTTAAAGATGTTGCTTAATGGGCTCTTCTTTGTTTCTTTTCTCTGTGTAGATCATGCACTCTCCTCTAGCTACTGGGTTCAACATACAAGGCCTCTGTAGAAGAGAGACAGGTGTTGACCCTGAGTCCGGTGGGACCACCGCTTCTTGGTGGCACTTACTTAGAATGGAAGGTGGGGTGCCATGGGTGGAATTAGAAACCTCAAAATAATGGCATACTTTAAACCCCAAACATGCACAACTTCATTAGTCATCAAGAAAATGCAACTCAAACATATAGATACTTTTTCTTGCCCATTAGAATAGTTATGATAAAAAAAGAAACAATACTAAGTGTTCACACAGAGAAATTAAAACCCTTATATCTCATAGGCGGGATGTAAAATGGTACAGCAACTTTGGAAAGCAGTTTGGCAATTTCTCAAATTGTTAAACAAAAGTTATCCTATTGGGATGGGGACAGGGCTCAGTGGCAAAGAGTCTGTCCAGCAAGTATGAGGTCATGAGTTCAATTCCCAGTACTCCCCGCAAAAAATCCTATTATCCTATTATCTAGAAGTTCCACTCCTAGGTATCTACCCAAGAGCAATGAAAATGTATGTCTGCATAAATATTTGTATGTGAATGGTCATAATACTATCATACGTAATAACCCAAAATGGAAACAAGCCAAATGTCTAGCCTCTAGTAAAAGGGTAAAATGTGGTATGTTCATGCAATTGGATATTAGAGCAATAAAAAGAAGCAAAGTACTAATGCATGCTATAGCACAGGTGAATCCCAAAATTATTATGCTAAGTGAAAGAAGCTAGACTTAGAAGCCTACACAATTATCAACTCTTTTGCATGGGGGATACATTTCCAGGGGGCGTTGCCAAGTGGAAATCAAATCACACAGAGTATCATACCCTATATACACTATACTTTCTCCTATGCATGCAGACTTTACATTTTTTAATAAAGTTTAACTTCTAAAGTAAGCACAGTTATAGATTAGCAACAAGGATAATAAAATAGAACAAAACAACATACTGTAATAAAGTTTATATGAATCTGAGCTCTCTCTTTCAAAATATCTTACCTATTATATCCTCCCTTCTTGTGATAGGGGATGATACAAGGCGTGGGTGAAGAGAAGAAGCGAATGATGTGGGTATTGTGATATAGTTTTAGGATACTGGGCAGCATTACTCAAACACAAGCACCGCCATACTGATATCAGGACAGTCAATCTGACAACCAACTAAGGCTGCTAAGTGACTAGCGATCAACCGGGATATACAGTGTGGGCACCCTGAGCAAAGAGCTGATTCATTTCTCAGGCAAACAGAAACAGGACAGCATAAGATTTCATGAGGGCTACTCAATATAATTTTAGATTTATTTGTGGGATGTTCCATTTAGTATTTTTAGGCCACAGTTGACCATGGATAACTGAAACTGCAGAAAATAAAACTTCAGTTGAGAGTGACTATTTATCGTTTGTTGTATGAGTTACTTATGTGGAATAACCCTCTAAAAAAGTTACATTGGGCTAGATGTGGAATTGAGAGTGGCTACAAGCGGGTGTGAGATTTCTTTTCCAGATGATAGAAACAGTCTAAAAGTAGATTATGCTGATGGTGCCCAACTCATGTTTAAAATGGGTCAATTTTATGGTACGAAAATTATGCACCAGTAAAGCTGTTAAAAACACATTTAAAAAAGAGAATGCAATTAAATGTTAAAAATGGGATTTCCTGGGCCTCTCTTTGAAGGTCTATTGCTGACACTGGCTCTGAAAATGTACACGAAATTCCAAATACTATGCTTTAGGAAATAACACCTAGTTATCCAATCAAAAAGGGTCAGGAAGTGGTTACTGGCACACCAGTGATACTTAAATCCAACACATACATCTATTTCACATCCTTTGTGGACCAAGCACTGTGGTGAGTGCTTTCTATGCCCTATCATTCAATTATTTGTTCAAAAATCTTTGTTGAATTCATCTCTGTGCTGGGTACCATTCTGGGAGCTGATAATACTGTGTGAATAGAAAAATCCCTTCCTCTGTGGAACTTACATCCTAAGAAGAAAGAAAAACAATAAACATCACCCAAACCAGTAATTAAGATTCCATTAGATAGTGATACATGAATTTAAGAAAAAAAAAACTAAGCCAGGGTAATGGGAGAGTGATGGGAGATGGGAAAGGTTTATGGTTATGATTGGTTATGATATGGTGTTAGCTTAGATTGAGAGGTGGACGAAGGATGAGGAGGGAGGCAATTCTACATCTAGCCCAATGTAACTTTTTTAGAGGGTTATTCCACATAAGTAACTCATACAACACCTGAAGGTATGAAGGAGGAGACAGGCAGGCATCAGGAAGAGAGGCTTGGAGGGGCTGTCAGCCGTCACACAGTTCTCCAGGGATAGATGACAGCAGGCACTGCAGGGCTCGGGGCTGTGCTATAGAGTTTGAATTAGAGTGGGTTTCTTGTTCCTGGAGCAATAGGAAGCCACTAGAAGATTTAAACCGAGGAGTAAAGTGACCTGATTTACATATTAAAGATGACTCCAGGCCCCAGAGACACAGATATGAGGGAGGGAGAGGATGAAAGAAGGAAAGTTAAAGAGCTCAGAGTGCTATAAGAGCCAAGGAGAGATGGTTGAGGATTAGGGGAAGGAGGTTGCAGTAGGGATGATGAGAAGGTAGGAGTGGGCATGAAGTTCAGAGGGTAAATCCAGTGGGAGGAATTGTAGGGCATAGAGAGACATACCATGAATGACCCTTGAATTTTGGCTTGAACAGCTGAGTGGGACACCAGTAATGAGACAGCAAACCTGTCCATTGAGATTACCTTTGCTGTGTTCGGGATACAGATGAAAACATGTATTCAGAACGCTGCACAGCTTTGTCCCAAAATTGCCCCCTTGAGGAGTTGAGGAACAAGTTCAAAGCCAGTGAACTTATTTTACACATGGCTCAGTGCTCACTACTGCCCCCTGCCTGAGGAGTTTATCCCAGCTAGCAGGTGGATAGAAGTCAGTTAAGGCGGTTGTCATGGTTTATATCTAGATGTCTCCACAAAGTTTCATGCACTCAGAGATGATTGAGAAGTGATTGGATCATGGAGGCATGATACCTATCAGTGCATTCGTCCACACATGAGTTTATAGCTAAATATAATTTGGAGGTGGAGCCTGGTGGAGGAGGTGGGTCACTGGGGTGTGGGCGGCAACGATAGCTCTCCCTCCTCCCCCCTTGATCCCTCTATGCTTCCCACCACCAAGCCATAAGCTACTTCTCTGCCATGTTCCTCTGCCCCATCACCCTGCCTTGCAGCCAGCCCACTAGGGACTGAAACCTCTGCAAACTGTGAACCTTCGTAAGTTGTGGGTATTAGGTATTGTGGCCCAGCAATGAGAAAGTAACTAAAACTGGTGTTGGGCAGAGAAGGGAAGACTTCTTGGCCCTAAAGGCTGGTGGGTACATTTGTCACTGGATAAAAGGGAAGGGAGCTTCTTGGAAAAGTAACATTTTTCCAGTGAATCACATTAAATAATCAGCATGGCTTACACCCAAGTGTTGGCCTGAACTGAGATTGACGGCTAATAAAAGCCTAGTAATTACAGGAAAACATCCGATTGGAAAACGCAGAGATTCTCAAAACACCTGAAGCCATTTAGTATATCTTATGTTTGCTCCAGACCAACAGGCAGCTCCCAGAGCAAGACCGGTCTCATTACCGAGCTAATGGGCATTATGCTCTGAGGTGTATTTCCTTCTGCCAAATAAATCAGAATTTTAAGAAGTGAAGCCTGGTACCGCCAGGCTGCAAATGTTTGCAAGGACATCACTGCGAGTTTTATGTGTCAAGTTTAATTTGACTTGGCCTAGTCTGCTCTCTTAAGAAAGGCTCCGGAGGCATCCACCGGGTCACACAGAGAATTCTGTCTGCTCTGGCTCCTCGGGCTGTGACAGAAGTCAGACCTCGATTTCCTGAGCACGCTGCCCCAACAGGAATTGCTCCTGTCACCACAGCCCGAAGGGGTTAGTGGTGATGAAAGTTGTCTTGCTTCCTAAGCTTGGGGATTTGTTTATTTTGGTCTGTCTCTCTTTAAAAAAAAAAAAAAATAAGGGTAGAGAGGCGGCAGGAAGGGGGATGGAAGAAAGAATCAGTCACACATTCTAAAATATTCTAAAATATTCATGAGCCCCCACTGCCCTAGGTTCTGGGGTGAAGACAAATGCTTACAAATTATAGCAGTGCAAAGGGGCTAACAAAACTGATAAGCTGTGTGTGTGTGTGTGTGTGTGTGTGTGCGTGTGTGTGTGCTCACACATGTGTCCCTGCGCGGCTGGCTGGTTCCCTGCCCACTTGCAGGGGCTGGACGGCGGCTCTGAGTCTCAGGGGCGGGAACAGAGGGTAGCTCCTCCATGCACTGTGGATTTTCCTATGCATTTTTCACCTCACAACAGCTCTAATGACCTTGGCATCAAGCTCTTACTGGGGATTAATAACTGGCTGGGCTTAATGGCCCTTACTGTGTCCTGGGCCATTTTCCCAGCCAGCCATTAATTCCAGGCAGTGCCCTGGCCTCTGGCCATTATGGCTCTGGAGCTGAGAGGTCGCCCTGAAGCAAGCGGCCACAGCCTCCTTCTCCATGGCTCCATCTCCCTCCACCAAAGGCATCCACACCCGGGGCTGGGCTTATAGACACATTATATTAAATCAAGTTTGGTTGTCTTCAGGGGTTCATTTTCTCAGCAGACAGAAAAAGTAAAAGATTGGTTTCGATGCGCTCACGCCTCTACTCCCGTCCCTCCCTCGGTTCAGCATTAATTAAAGGTTTTTTATGGGGCAGGATGGAGGAAAGGTTACCAAGACTGGAGTGGCCCACTAGGACATTTTCTACCAATGGAAAGAGCTGCTCTTGTAATGGGGCTTCAGGGAAAATGTCCCAAGGCACCTGGGAGGCCGACCGCCCTGAGGAGGAAGGCAGAGAGGAGGGAAGGTCTTGCTGGTGGAGAGTCCTCTGGGACTTCCCTCCTCTCCCATGTCCTCCTCAGCACCCTGGGAGCAGAGGGGCAGAGCCGTAGGTTAAACTTCCCATCGTCTGCTCAGTGACTGCTCCACCCAGCGTACCTGTGCTTAAGGGAACATGAAAATGCTGCATCAGGAAACGTAATCCACCAAGGCGTGAATATTTCCACTCACCTTGTGACGCCAAGGAGTCTCAGCACTGGGGTGGAGGAACGCGGTGGGCTCAGATGATTGTAACGCATCCTCAGAAACAGGGTCACACAAGTTGTATGAATTTAGCCATCCTGCTTCCAAGACATCCTCTGAAGGCAGCGAAAGGACTTCCTCTCTTCTTTGAAGTGGTTCTGCCTTCAGGACATGCACTTCTCAGCTGCTGGAAAGACAACACTATGTTTGGGACAGTTACTGTCACCTTCTTGTCACCGCTTACCGAAAGGACTTGAGGTGGGATTCAGACTTCAATCTCCACATTTTGTTTGGGCATCTGCACGACTCAAGGAGTGAGTGTCAGTGGCCATGGTAACAGAACACCGAGCTCCCGGATGGAGGACTGGCTTAACCCCAGGATGTTCAGAGGTGACAAGTGATCACAGAGGGCCAGGGGGGCATGGTCCATGGGGAAATTTGAGCTTCCCTGAAAGGCTGTCTTCCAGGGAAAAGAGGAGGAGAACCAGGTCCTTGAGCTCTGTTTCACCTGCCACCCAGCCTGCACCATGAGAATCTCAGCAGGATGATTCATTACAGGGAAAGAGTTGTTCCTGGGGCGCTTCCACAGACTGCTTCTCCAGTAATAGTGAGCACCAGGTCCAGTATGATTAATCAGACTGGAAAACTCAGGATAATCCTAGGTGATTCTAACGCAAAAAACCATGTTCCCATGGCTTTAGGTCCTAGGATGATCTTACAGAGTAGCCTTTCAAAGAAAATACACTGAGTAATATAGAACCTCAGGGATGAATTAAATGCTCAGGAAAGATCTTTTAAATGAATGAATGAATCAATCAATTGATCAATCAATGCCATCTCACCATAAGTATCTAGTTTGAAGCTAGTTATATATATTACACAGGTAACAAAGTTAATAACCTCACTTGTGAAAAAGTCAGCCTTCAACTCCTTGTCTTCTGACCCTCATTATTAAGTAACAAGCTATTTATAGATGCTTCTTACCACTTTTGTGGAAATATTTTAGTGGGCTTCTTCATGAGTAGCAATGATGTGACCAACCATTCTGGCTTATCTGGGACCAAGGAGTTTCCCAGGATTCGTGACTTTCAATGCCAAAGCCAGACCACCCCAATACACCAGGCTGCGTGGTCGCCCTAAGTGTTTGCATCAGTCCTGTGGATCTGCCACCCTCTGTCAACATTTTGCAGTCAGGCTTTGGCCTCCATTGCCTCACTTTCAGCCACAGCCAGCCTCTGTCATCTCTCTTCAGTGGAGACTATGTTGACCAAGGTCATCAAATCCAAAGGACACTTTCCAAGTCTTGTCCTATAGTGGTCTATGGCACCATGAATACCCCCTCTTTCATTGGTTTCCACAGCATAATCCCTTCCTAGTTGTCTATCCACCTTTCTCACGGTTCTGGACAGATTTACATATTCCCTTCTCTTTGGTCCCGTGTCCCAACATGCCTAGTTACCATACTTACTGTGTGGCCCTGAATTGTTTGTCTGGGAACAACTTCAACCTGGGCTTACGCTCCTGGAGAAGGAAGTGCCTTGTTGGATTTTTTCTCTATAGCACCAAGTTCAGTGCCTAGCACATAAAAGGAACTTTGTCCCTGATTTAACTCCCTCCTCATCATTTATGAATGAGGTGTGCCAGGAAAATATTTTCTCTACACTTTGGCCACTGAAATTGTCCTTTGCCCCAAGAGTTCACTCAGGGGATTCAGAAGGTCTCCTTCCTCTGGTTTCTAGCAGTTTCCTGGGGGCAACAGGGGCCACCTTCTGGGGATCAGGAGACAGCTCTTCCTCAGGAGAAAGGGCAGGTCTCAGCCACATTTCACTGTCACGGACTGACAGAGGTTCCAGCTGGATGAGTGTGCTGTGAATGAAACTCTAAGGAATGGAGGATTTGGACAGAAGATCTCTGTCACTACTGCACCCTACCAGTGGGTTCCCAGGAGGGAGGAAATGTGGTGCGCAGTGAGGTTTGCAGCCCTCTCACAACACTGCTGGACCACACTGGCATAATGGCTGATCCCACCAGCTCTGAAGCCACGTGGCCTGGGTTTAAATCCCAGCTCTCCCACTTCCTAAGCGTCTGATCTTGTGCAAACTGCTTCACCTCTGTATCCGTCAGTATTCTGGTTCATAAAGTGGGGGTGATAATATAATATCTACCTGAAGGGATTATTTGAAAGATTCATACAGTGATGTGAAAAGCTCAGGGAATGCCTGGCACATGGAGAGCACTCAGGAAATATTAGCTACATGAACACCATTTCTTTTACACGCCCAGCCTTGTTGTGCTCGAAACAACCTTCAGTGCTCATTCTTCATCAGCTTCCCCTCCTTAGCCCCCGCGCCTTGCGCCCAGGCAGCCAGTTCTCCGGGAGCTGCAGCGCTCCTGGGTCCGAGTGTGGGCCGGACTCATACCCCCTCCTCAGGCCCTGTCAGACCTCTAGGCCCTCCTTCCCCGGCCCTCCATCCCTCCCTGAAGTGCAGACTTTGAATGCTTTCATTTTCCCATGTCTGCATTTTGACGCCTAACACAGTGCCCATCCCCTAAGATTCATTATATACCATGGGAATGTCGAGACTGTCAGTTACTTCACAAGCTTATAAACCCAAGGTGTTCACTACTGCTTGGTCAGTACTTTCAACGTGTTCCACACTAGTCAATAACCCTCAAAGCATGTCATGTGTTCAGTGATCACATGACAGGTCCCCAGCTAAGGACTGGGCTCAATCACATGCAGTTGCTATGTTTGCAGGTCAGGCATAGGCACCTGATCCGATGTGTATCTTAATTTTGTTCATTCTACTGAGGTAGAATAGGCTGGTTTTTCCTCAGTTAGAGATAAAGAAACTCAGGTTTGTGAAGGTTAGCAACTTCCTAAGGTTCCGTAACCATTAATAGGCAGTAGAGACAGGGCCCCGAGCCCAGGGTCTTAGGCACTGTGCCTTGAGGGGAAGTGACTGCCCTCAGATGCCCTCCGCAGATTCCAGGCTCAGGGAGTTCGCAGAGGAAATACCAGACTGAACATCCGCAGTGCCGAATGAAATGGGCTTTCTGGAGGCTGCACAGGGAACGAGGGTGAGCTGTTCCCAGCGAACAGAGAGGAAGGGCAGAGGCTCTGGCGGAATCGGCAGGCAGCTTTCCTTCCGAAGGTCCTGATTGTCATTGTCTCTTGTATTGCTGGCCCTGGCTGCAAGCTCTAACTGCATTATTTTCTAGTGGCCACTAAGAGATCTTTCTCATTCAACAATGTTGCCTTTGTCAGAGTGTCAGTTTTCAGAAAGCAAAGCCTTGGCTTGAGCATGAACTGCGCCCTGCTGGTGGCATGGTCCCTGATACACCCGCACGGCCAGGGCTCCCATGGGCACTTGCTGACTGCCCTTGAGAGCAGAACCAGGCTGTGCGATTCCTGGGTGAGCTCGTGGCTCTGAACTTATGCCTTTCTTCACATTTATGAACATAGGCCAGTGCAGTCTCTGTTTCTGCCTTTAAACTGGGAGAAATAATCCTGATTCTTACTTCAAAATTATGGCATTGATGGGGTTACAGTCTGCAAGCTACTTCTCATCTGACTCTATGTGATGTTTATTTGGGGGTAAACATTTATGCAGCATTCAAGAATATTAATACATGCTTACCTTGTGAGGTGAGTTAACAGTATCAAAGACAGATCCCTGGCAATTTGTAGTAAAGTCCTGGCTTCAATTTGGGGAACTCTGGATTCAGAAAGTCCTAGCTTTGAAAATACCACCCCATTACTCCACAGGCACTAGTCCTTGGGCAGATTTCCTAACTTTGCTAAGCGCCAGCATCCTTACCCATCAAATGACCATGATGCTGGGTTCACGGGTCAAGATGGTCACTTACAACCAGGGAAGGTCCAAGCCATTGTTTAGCAGTTAATCCCAGCAATCCTTCTCGCTTGTCCAGTGTTTCCTGTCACCAGTTTAGCAAAGAAAGTAGGGATCCATGATGTCACAGCAGCGTGAGCAGGACAAGAAAGGGAATGGAGGTCCTTACCCTGAGGGCGGAAGTAGTTCCTGGGGCCAAGGGAGCGGAAAGTCCTTTGTGCCTGACCCTGTCCTTCTCCTCCCCCCTGCCTTCTAGCCCCTGAAAATGCACTGCAGGGACTGTGCCCTGGTGACCAGCTCGGGACACCTGCTGCGCAGTCGGCAAGGTCCGCAGATTGACCAGACTGAATGTGTCATCCGCATGAACGACGCCCCCACCCGCGGCTACGGGCGCGACGTGGGCAACCGCACCAGCCTGAGGGTCATCGCGCACTCCAGCATCCAGCGCATCCTGCGCAACCGCCACGACCTGCTCAACGTGAGCCAGGGCACCGTGTTCATCTTCTGGGGCCCCAGCAGCTACATGCGGCGGGACGGCAAGGGCCAGGTCTACAACAACCTGCAGCTCCTGAGCCAGGTGCTGCCGCGGCTGAAGGCCTTCATGATCACGCGCCACAAGATGCTGCAGTTCGACGAGCTCTTCAAGCAGGAGACTGGCAAAGACAGGTGCAGGGCGCGGGCAGACTTGGCTGACCACGGATAGCAAAGCGCTGGGAGGGTTCATGAGCGGAGCCCCCACTGCCTGTGCCACTATTCAGAGCTCCCCGCAACGTCCCCAGAGCACATCTCTATTTTTGAGAAAAGGCTACACAGCTGCTGGCCTACATTAGTAAGAGGGGCAATATAAGGCATGTGATTGAAATACAGTATGTGGTGAATATTTCAATTTTTTTTAATTTAGTAGAGCAAAAAACACATTACCTTTAACCCCCTCAAAATCCTCCTCACTTTGAGCACACTGATGCCATCCTGCTTCCCATTTTGTGAAGCAGTTCTGGAATTCTTCTTCTGTTGTGCTGCTTGGCCCCATCAGTGTCCTGAGCTGATTCAAAACGTTTCCCTTTCTTGGTCATTTTGACCTTTCCTGGTCATTTTGACTTTGGGGAAAAGCCAGGAGTTTCAGGGCACCAGATCTTGTGAATGACAGGGAGGACACTGCCTGAAGTTTTTCTGAGCCCGCCTTTCCATTGACTAGCAGTCTGCAGCAGCAGTCCCTGTATTTTTGATCATACCTTGTAAAGACTGTTAGAAAGAGGACATCCAGAACTGCTTCAGAATGTTGCAAGAATGATGGGATAAATGTGTTGCAAGCAAAGGGGAGTTTTT